GGCCAGCCTGGCTGGATTCCATCTGGTATCAAAAGCAAACAAGCAAGACTCTTTGAGATGGCCATGCCTTTAATCACAGCTTTTGGGAGGCAGAGGCAGGAGGATCGCTGTTAGTTTGAGGCTAGCCTGGTGTACAGAATGAGTTCCCAAAACAGCACCATGTCTGAAGAGACAGCTCAGTGGCTAAGAGCACTGGCTACTCTTCCCAAGGACTCAGGTTCGAGTCCCAGCACCCACCAACCACCTGTAAATGTAGTTCCAGGGCACCTGATGCCTCTGACCTCTGCAGGCACCAGCCATGCATAGTGCACAGTCATACATGTAGGCAAAATACCTATACACATACATTTTGTTGTTTTGTTTTTCAAGACAGGGTTTCTCTGTGTAGCTCTAGCTATATTGGAATTCACTCTGTAGACCAGGCTGGCCTTGACCTCAGAGCTCCACCTGCCCGTGCCTCCTGTGTAGAGTGGTTAAAGGGGTCGCACCACACCCAGCTCATATCATTTTCTTTAAAGAAGGGAGCGAGCTTGTCAACAGTGAGTGCTCACCCCAGTGTTCCAGAGGACTGAGTTCAGTTCCCAGCACCCACGTGAGGTGGCTCCCAGAGGCCGGAGGTGAGATCCCCTGGACTGGAGTTAATACAATTGTGAGTTGCATGTAGGTGCTGGGAATGACACTTGGGCTCTGGGGATGACACTCAGGCTCTGGGGCAGAGGATCCAGGTCTCTTAACCTTGAGCCAGCGCTCAGCCCCACCTTATGGGTATTAGTTTTGAGATAGGGTCCCATTAGCTAGCTCTGAGTGGCAGGGAGGACACCGTGTAGATCAGGCTAGCCCAGAACTCACAGTGATCTTCCTGCTTCTGAGTGCTGAGGCTAAAGGCAGAGGAAGCACACTGCCTGGCTCTGCTTGCAGTGTCACAGTGCAGACACCTGGAGCTAGAGGTTCCTCTAGGCTGGCCTGGGACACCAGACATCCTCCGGTCTCCCAGTGCTGGATGAGTGTGCATCCCACCAGGCCTGGGTCTTTATAGGAGCCCTGGGGACTGAACTCAGGCCCTCCAGTTCAAGGCTAGTGAGGGCTTCATTGACTAAGCCCTTTCCTGAGGGATTGGGTGGAGGCAGTTTGAAGAAAGAAACAGTTACTTTGCCTGTACTGGGCACTGGTGGCTCAGAGTCATAGAAGGAGACTGAACTGGACATATCTGCTCACCCTGGATGACTGGAAGCAGAAGGAAGCAGGAGACAGGACTTGTTTCATACCCCACCTCCAGACACCAACCTCCTCCAACCAGTGTAGGCAAAATGTTTTTGTGTACTGTGTAAAGTTCACCCTTGTGTTATTCAAATGTGATCTCTCTGCCCTCAAATATTGTTTCAGTTAGGACAGGGCATTGTAGTGCTTATACCAAGAGTTCTTTGTAACAAGTTTGCATAAACAGTTCTTACCATTTATTCTCTGCCTTATCAATAAATGCTGATCACCCAATCAATGGGCAGAACAGAAAATAGGGAAGGAGCTTCTGCCACTCAGGGGTGGGGGGGAATGGGGGGTTTAGATCTGCAATAAAGAAGGGGGAGATGAGCCACAGGACAGGTTGGAGAACACACTGTGGGGAAAGCATCTGGGCAGAGAGAGCCGGGACAGCGGCACAGTGCACACAGCAGAGAGAGCCAGGACAACGTTGTCACAATGCATACAGCGTAGCACTGGGGATAGGAGACAGCCTGGCACAGGGGTTAATATAAATCAATATTGCCCAACCACTGAGGTGCAGCTGGAAATGTCTTGGTTTCTCTGTGTGGTTATTGGGGGTCTCACAAAGGTGAAGAAATAAAGACGCCATATTAATTTACAAATTGCACTTACAGTAAAATAATGCATTTTAAAAAACCAGACCCCGAATCCCCATTTCATCACCTCTAGACAGCTGCTGCCAAATTACAGATCCAGTCTGAAATGACTCTGTTCTCAAGGGGTCCATACACCCTTACCGTTAGGAAGGAGGCCTCTCTGGGAGATGGCAAATCTGCATTATTTAAGAACAGGAAAGACCCACCCCATCCCAAAAGCCATGCTTTGGTAGGTGGATGTCTCTGTGTTCTAGGCTAGCCAGGGCTACAAAGTGAGCCACTGTTATTTCTTTATTTGTCTTCCTAGGCAGGGTTTATGAAGGCAAGGTGTAGCCCTGGCTGTCCTGGAACTCACTCTGCAGACCAGGCTGGCCTCAAACTCAGAGATCCACTTGCCTCTGCCTCTGGTGTGGTAGGATAAAGGCCTGTGTCACTGTTGACACCGGCTCACCTCCTGCCTAGAATGCCCCCAGTAAGGGGCTGGGACAGGGTCATGGGAAGCGCACTCGTCTAGCATGGATTCCATCTCCAGTATCTAAAGGTATAAATACAATTTGAAAATGATGTGGCTTAAAAAAAAAATTAGGGGCTGGATGGCTCAGCAGTTAAGAGCACTGACTGCTCTTCCAGAGGTCCTGAGTTCAAATCCCAGCAACCACATGGTGGCTCACAACCATCTGTAATGGGATCTGATACCCTCTTCTGGTGTGTCTGAAGACAGCGACAGTGTACTCATATACATGAAATAAATAAATCTTTAAAAAAAATTAAAAAATTTAAAAAAAAGAAAAGAAAATGATGTGGCCATGTGTGCCCTTTCCCTGTAATTTAACTTCGTGATATCCTAAGGCAGAAGGATCATGAACTCAAGGCCATTGTGAGATCCTGTCTCAACAGAAAAAAAAGCTATGTAGGAGAGCTTCAGGCCTCAGTTTCTCCAAATCTAACTTGGGAAACCATGTTTTTAGGTGCAACAGCACCACCTGGCGGCCACCATGCTAGCTTGAAGCCCCGCCTCCTTGCTGAATTTTACCTTGGGCGCAGTTCCTCGGATGCCCGGCAGGAGGCGCGCACTCCCTGCTGCGCCAGTCCCCAGAGATGTGTCTTGTGGATGGTAGGAGACCTGTCATTATGCCTGCCACCTGGGCCCTTGGCTAAGTATATCCCTGCCATTAAAAAAGGGACCAGCAGTGTTAGGCTTTTGTCTTTGAAGAGTCTCTCTATTTAAAAGAATACTAAGGGGCTGGAGAGATGGCTCAGCGGTTAAGAACACTTGCTGGGGGGCTGGAGAGATGGCTCAGTGGTTAAGAGCACTGACTGCTCTTCCAGAGATCCTGAGTTCAAATCCCAGCAACCACATGGTGGCTCACAACCATCCGTAATGAGATTGGATGCCCTATTCTGGTGTGTCTGAAGACAGCGACAGTGTACTCATAAATAAAATAAATAAATAAATCTTAAAAAAAAATAAAAGAATACTAAGAACAGTATTTTAGGGGTCAGCAACAAGGCTAAGTAGGTAGTGGCATTTGCTGACAAGCTTGGATCCTGAGAATCTTGGCATCCCGGAGGAACACACATGGAGGTGGAAGGAGAGAACCGACTCCACTAGATTTTCCTCTGACCTCTATGCATGTGCTGCCGAAGCCCTAGATAATAACCCCCCCCTCTCTCTCTCACACTCACACACACACACACACACACACACACGGGGCAGAGACAAGTAGATCTCTCTTGGAATTGGAGACCAATCTGGTCTACTGAGCCAGCTAGGGCTGCAGGCGTTAGACCCTGTTAGAATACACACACCCCCAATCACTCATATACACCACATACACACACCCCACATACACACACAATCACTCACACACATCTACATTGTTTTCATCATGTAGGCAGGATGTTTTGGGGTGTGGTTCAAGTTCACAGGGGACACACAGGATGATTAGAGTAGGGGTCAGTGTGCTCCTTGGAGACCGATCTGCTGGCCCTTTTGATGCTGGAGAAGAACGCGGGAGTGCAGGCCCAGCTCCACCCCGGGGCCACACCCCAACAGATCAAGGTGTCTAAAGTTTGAAGGCGAAGTTCGCGGCCATCTGCAACTTTTAGCCTCTCAGGCTAAGGTTCCAAGCATCTGCTGCAGTCTCGGGTTCTAGGGAGGATTCCCGGGACTTGGATTGGCTGGAGCCACCCCATCTCCCCAGACTTGCCGGACATACACTCACACAAGTGGGCAGACTGCCCAAGAACCTCAACAAGGGACCTGGGCACCACCCATGGGGAACGTGGTGAAGATGGGGGTTGCCCTGAGCACTGGCGTTACCCATTAGGGTCGCCTCAACTTCTTCTTTTTTTTTTGTTTTGTTTTGTTTTGTTTTGGTTTTTCAAGACAGGGTTTCTCTGTGCAGCCCTGGCTGTCCTGGAACTCACTCTGTAGACCAGGCTGGCCTCGAACTCAGAAATCCGCCTGCCTCTGCCTCCCGAGGGCTGGAATTAAAGGCACCACTGCCCGGCTCGCCTCAACTTCTGAGCTCACATCATGCCTCAGTTTCCCATCTTGCAAAATGGGACCTCAGAATCCAGTACGCTACCGAGACGAACTGGGTGGACTGAGGCAGGGGCTTCACTGAGTTGGTCAGAGGATGGCTCTCCTTTCCCTCGCTCCTACGTGGGGGTCGTCACGGTTCCTCGCATTTCCTCGAACGCGCGCGCAGCCCAACCCCGTGCTTTTGCGCCCGCAGCACCCCCAAACCCCCGCGTCCCGGCCCCTGCAGATCTAGCCGCTCCGGGGTTTTTAAGCCCATTTAAGAGTCGTGGAGCCCCAGGACGGGAAAGTTTGGGTAGCATAGTGGGCGGAGGTTCCAGCGCCAAGCTTGGCTTATCCATCTCACGTTCCGGGTGAAACCAGGAAATGACCAGGTGACTTTCCGCTCAGAGGTGGGGTGAGGAACCTTTTTTACTCTTCGGGATTCCCGCGATGGGGCTCTCGCAACCCCGCCCTCCCGCTCGCGTCCTCTGCGGCGTGGGCTGCGCCATGCACTTTGCGCACGGTCCCTAAGATGGGGGCGGAGCGTCCCTCAGTCCGGTTTCCCCCTTCCTTTTATTATTTATTATCATTTAAAGGGGCCGCGACCTGAAGTTTTCCGTCCACTCTGTGGCGGCTCTCCGGCTCCCCTCCACCTCCTCCCACCGTGGACGTCCTCAGATTGAGTTGGAGAGGGGGGACCCCGGTGTGGTGTCCTGGGAAAGCATAGAAAGGGGGACCCTGGAGAGACACCCACCACCTCCTGCGTCCCCGGGGCTGCTGAATCACCGGCGAGGTATTTGCATCTGAGAGCAATTTGTCACACGGCGATTCGTCTGCTGGGTGGGGGAGGGGCGGGGCGGGGGGCCGGTCGCGCGCGGAGACCTCGTCCCTATCCGATCCAGACGGATGGAGATGTAGACAGACGCGGCCTGGAGATTCGGTGAGGCGGGTGACCCGGGAGCCAGGAGCGTGCACCGGGCACCAGGGGGAGGCCAAGGGGGAGAGAGGCCACTGGAGGCCACCAGCAGGCTGGACTCTGGGCTGGACTCCGGGCACCCGGGCATGCGCCCCCCGGGCCACCCCGAGCGGTAAGGCCTTTTGCAACGCGCTCCAGCGATCTCCCCTAAAGGTGGCAGCCTAGGGCACCCTGGAAACCCGACAATTGCCGGGTCTCCAAAGTTAGGCAAAGACGCGCGCGTAGAGGGGTGCAGGGCTGAGTAGGCGACTCGACGGAATCAGAGTTGGGGTGGCTGTCGCGGTTGTAGATCTTGGAGACCTTTCATCCGGTACGCGAATGCGCGGGGGTCGCGAGTGCGCGCTGATCGCTGGCGGAAGGAAACAGACCCGGGGTGTGTGTCCGTGTATATACGCGCGCACAGAGGACTGGGGGCTGCGCTCTGGGGACATGGCTTTGGTTTTTCTTATTAATTAAAAAAGATGTTTGGAGATAGGATCTCACAGTGTAGTATGGGCTGGCTTAGAACTCCGCTTAAAGCGCAGACCAGCCTGAAACTCGAGGCCATCCCCCTGCCGCAGCTTTCCTTTCCAACTGCTAGGGAAAATCCCAGGCCAGGCGCACCACCACGCCCTGATGCCTACAGTTCTTTTTCTCTTCCAAACCAGTGTCCAGCAGAGTCCACCTTTCCCCCCACCCATTTCGTTCCCTAGCTCCAGTGTGCCACTAGGGTCTCCACTTGCCCTGCGGGGTGCGCCGATCCAGGTCCCTCCCATAGGGTCCCAGCCCCCCCCCAGCCCCCGGACACAAAAGAGGGAGCAGGAAGCGCGGAGTGCGCGCGTGTGTGTCAACTCGCAGCGGGTTTGTCAAATATCTTCCGTTTTTTACGACTTGGGCAGCAGGGTTCCCCCCACCCCCACCCTGGAGCTCGCTCTTTCCAAGAAGCCTTTGAAATACCGACTCCGTTGGGGGGGGTTGTTTGTTTGTTTTGTTGTTTTACGTTTGTCCTCTGACTGGGGTGTGTTTTTGCACACGTCTCTTGGTCGGGGGGCACGGTGCCTTCTTTCCCAGCCCCCTCCCCGCTCCTGCCCTTCCCCCTCCACCTCCCTGGGAGGAGAGAGGGGCCCCTTTCGTCACCCTCGGGCCCTGGCCTTGCACAACTCCAAATAACCATGTTTTGCAAGGCCTGGCCGAGCTGGTGACCTCTCTCTCTGTCTCTGTCTCTGTCTCTCTCTCTCTCTTTCTCTCTCTCTTTCTCTCTCTCTCTCTGTCTCTCTCTGTCTCTCTCTCTGTCTCTCTCTCTTTCTCTCTCCCTTTTCCTCTCTCTACCCCTCCTGCTTCCATCTCTCCGTTCCTCCCTCCTTTTCTCTCTCTCTCTCTCTCTCTCTGACCTGAGGCGTGGAGGTGGAGGGGATGAGGGTGTGGCTCTGGGTCTAGTCCCCTCCCCAGCCAGATCCCCCCTCCACAAACACTAGCTACCACGTCCTAGTAGACCTTCTCTCTGAAAACATCATAAATTGAGGATGGGGACAAGGACAAAGGGCTGGGGAAGGGGGCTCTAAGGATGGGCAACATTAACTTAGGGGTACTGGAACCTCTGGAGGGTGGGGGGATGTCTGGGCCTGACCCAGGGACAGCTTTGGGGTTCCCATCTGCCCCCCTTCACCGCTACCAGCCCAACCAGTGGAAGCCTATCCTGCTCCCCTCCCCCCACCCCTCAACCAGGAAGGGTCATTAAACCAAACAGGCCTGGGAGGGGGGTCGGGAGGCTGGGAGAGGGGCTTCCTCTAGCTTTTTCCTTGTTTGTTCCCCTACCCCACCCTCAAAGAGGGGGTGTCACTTTCAGCATTTCCGTAGAGGGGTATGTTCAGCAGGGTGGGGGAAGGGCCAGAGATCAAGCCAGACGTTGTCCAGAAATGTCCCCTCCAGCAGTTCTTGGGTCTCATGGGCCAGGGTGACCAGCAGCCACAGGGTGTGGAGGGACTGTGAGTGTTGACAGCTGGGCGGCCACTCTTGTGTCCAGGCCTCCAAGATTTTCCTGTCTCGGGAAGCCTAGGCTGAAGGGTGACTCTTGGCTCCCTTTTCTGTTGGGGACATCCACCTGCCAGCATTCTGCTGGAAGCTCAAGGTTTGGGGTGAGCAGATATCTAGGGAGGGGGACCTTACAGGTCCCCGTTCTCCTTGAAGGTCTTGAGAGTCCTGAACTGCAGCGGTCTCCTTACTCAGGAGAGCAGGTGACCAGGACGTCCTCAGTGTGAACAGCCAGGAGCTGTCTGCCTTCCTCACACACTGGGTTGTTGGGGTCTTTCCAGGGTTTCTGTATGCATAGACTTCTGAGGTTCGGGTGAGACAGAGGGTGCAGACTCTGTCTGCAGGGTGGACTAAACTTTCCCCTGCCCTGTGGTTCCTTGATCTCAGGCAGTTTGTGTGTAGGCCCCAGCCTGCTGGGCACTGTCCACTGTCTTATTGGTGACTCATGTGGGGATCGAGTTGTGGTCTGGGGCCAGGTGGGACCTGGATTCTGGTGCTGGCTGAAGGGAGGCCCAGAAGGGGTCCTGGCAGGGACACATGCTGTATTCTGGGACATTTCCCCCCTTGGAGCTCCACAAACTAGTGATGGCAGACCTGTGTCCTCTGCAGAGAGCCTCGGGCTGCACAGGACACGCAGATGACACCTGCTTGGTTCCCAAGTGTGAGGCAAGGGGGCACTTGTACCATCCTGGTGGTACGCCAAGGCCCAGAGGCCAGCTGAGGGACATCTGAGAAAGCAGGCTGTGAGCGGACACGTTTGTCCACCGCTCCTACACAGTGGCTGTCTAATCTTGGCCAGGGTTCCTCGGGTCCCTCTGGGCTAAGCAACATTTAGAACTTAGAGCCAGAATCCAGAACCCAGAGGGACTCTGCGGTCTAGAAGGGGGTACGACCAATAAGAAAGCAAGAACACCAGGCCCCTCCCCCACTGCTCTTCTTATGGGACAATAACCCAAGGTGTCCCTGGTGGACCTGACCAGAGGGGACCCAGAGATTCCCTTAGTGTCCACTGCAGTGACCCTGGTCCTGAGGAACCTGCAGATAGGCAGATGGGAGTGCGAACCCCAAGCAGGTGCGAGCAATTCTCCCATCAGCCTTTGCTGTCGTCTTCTGGGGCAGGATGTGTCAGTGGGGTACAGGTGGAGTCTGACCTCATCTCTTGCTGTGTTCTCCCAGGAGTCTGCAGGTGCTTGAATGAGCGCGACACCAGCCTCTGCCCCCAGGTGCCCGACGTAACAATAAGGATCCCACTGGTCGCTCCTGGCATGCCCCACCAGCTTTCAGCCTGAGTTGGCAGCCTCCGCCTCTGCCAGCCGCCACCCTGCACTGTTCCGGCTCCCCCGAGGGTCCCACGCTGCAGTGCGGCCAAGACCCCTCCCCGCAGGGGCCACCCCCACCAACTGCCCCTGGTGCCCGGGGTGGCCCGGCCCGCAGGGCCATGAAGCTTCAGGCTGTGATGGAGACTCTCATTCAGAGGCAACAGCGTGCCCGGCAGGAACTGGAGGCTCGGCAGCCTCCACCACCCCCACCACCTGAACCCACTGGTGTCCGGGCTCGGACCGCCATGACAGAAGAGGACAGGGAGCCTGAGAATGCCCGGATGCATAGGACGCAGATGGCCGCCCTGGCTGCCATGAGAGCCGTCGCCGCCGGCTTGGGACATCCGTCCTCTCCCAGGGGCTTTGAGGACAGGCCTCCTAGCTCCGAGGACGAAGACACAGCCCGGGAAGGCACTCTGAGTTCACCTGCCCTGCCTGGAAGTGGCCTGGAGGGACCAGGACACACCGAAGGAGATGGGCATTTGATGGACGTGGGCTCTGAGGATGACATGTGAGTGTTAGGGTTGGGGACAGCGGCGTCTAATCATGGTGCATCTGAAACGTGGGAGCCAGTGAGGGTGACGGGACGCTGCATGTCCGAGCAGGTGTTTGCTGAGTGCTTCTGTGATTCCTTGAGGGTCTGCTGTACTGCTATCCCGAGACTCAGAGAGCTTTGGGGTTGGGCCAAAGGCTGCCAAGAGCATTAGGCTGGGGTGCCATGGGGGAGGAGGCCAAGTTTGGATAGAACGTGACTGAGGAGTAGATGGAGAACCTCACTCAAGTCTAGTGCTGGGAGCCACATGTGCAAAGGTCCTGGGGCAAGAACCTTTGGGAAGATGTTTTGGGGACCCTTATAGGAGCTTGTTCGGGGGTGAAGTAAGATGTGGACAGGGTCCCACTTGGTGCCCTGAGAGGTCTTGTGGCTGCTCAGCTTGTCTGCAGAGGAAGAAACTAAGGCTGGGGCCGTGGGTGGGCCTGTCCCTGCCACTGAGGCATGGTGGTGTCTGGTGTTCTCCTGATGACAGGGTGCCCTGTGTCCATTCCAGGAAGCCCAAGTGGGAAGAGCAAGAGCTGGAAGAACTGGGGGAGGAGGAAGAGGATGAGGAAGATGAAGATGACTTTGAGGAAGAGGAGGAGGAGGAGGAAGAAGAAGGTCTGGGTCCCCCAGAGTCTGCCAGCCTGGGCTCTGCAGGCCTGTTCACCCACAAGACCCCTCTGGCTCAGGCTTTCCGTGGGGATGGCGGTCCCAGGATGCTGAGTGGCCCTGAGCGCCTGGGACCTGGCCCGGCTCATCCCAGTCATGTGGCTTCCCAGATGCCACCACCGGACCACGGAGACTGGACATTTGAGGAGCAGTTCAAACAGGTAGGCCATGTGCTTGGATCCAGCCCCTGGGGGGGCCTTTGATCACCCCACAGACCCCAGGAATTTTGACTTGGGCACTGCGGGACTCTGGCGAGGCCCTGCTTAGACCCTGTGTGAGGCTTAACTTCGGGAATACTGAGGGGTTCCGCCTGGTCCTCTCCAGGAGAAAGGTGGTTTGTGGGTGTTGGGGGATGGCTCAGTGGATAAAGAGCTCTTGCTGTGCAAACAGGAGGACTGTGTTCTGACCCTCAGCACACATATAAAAAGCCGAGCGTAATACCACGTGTTTTTGCAATCCTGGTGTTGGGAGGTGGAGGCAAGAGGATCCCTGAGGTTTGCTGGCCGTGTAGCCAAGCAGTCAGTGAGCCCAGGGTCAGTGAGAGATCCTGCCTCAAAACCTAAGGTGGAAAGGAACAGAGGGAGGTGCCCAGCACCCAGCTCTGGCTCACATGGGTGTGGAGTCAGCCTCTGAAGAGCTCTGAGGATCGATAGCGTGTGCTGTGGGCCTCAGTGTCCAGAGGGCTAGTGTCCCAAGGCAGTGCTGGTCCAGGGTGTGGCCAAGGGACACTTGGTGGCCACAGAATTGTGAAGGTGCTGGAGCCAGCAGGAGCCAGTCACAGAATCTTGTGGTGGACAGTTCCAGGGGTGCTGGTATTGGTGGACTAGGTGGGGGGGGCAGTCTGTGGGACCCCCACACAGGCTTCCCGGGCCTGGGAGGGGCATGGAGGAAGCTCAGACTGCCCCAGCTCTTCCCTGCAGGCAGCCACGCTGGAGGAAGTGGTCAGCAGGGAGCCTTTGAAGTCAGTAGGCCGATGGAAACCAGATGGTTGGCCTGCCGGGCTGGGGCCTGCATTCCAGCTTGGCCAGCTGGCCCAACGACCCCTGAGTGTGTGGCCTGGGAGGAAACCGGCTGCCGGGCTGGCTCCAGGGCCAAGTCCTGTGTGGGCTATGAGGTGGCCCCAGAGGTGGCTGAGAGCTCCTGATACTCCCCCGGGACAGAGCTGGTCAGACTAGCTTCAAGGGGGACCTGAGCTCTGCTTTTGGGTGGGGCCTGAGGTCCCCTTCAGAGACCCCTTCCAACTGAGGCAGAAGACTAGAGATGGGCGTCCCTGGGGAGCCGTTGAGCTGAAGCACCATGAGGTCTCAGGTTGGGTTAGGACTATGGTACTTGTGCAGCAGGGCTCAGTAAATACCTTGTGCTGGTGGCACAGCCATGCAAAGGCCCTGGGGCACAAAGAATAGTTTCGAGGAACGGAGAGAAGGGCTAACCTGTGCCCTCGTGGGACCTGCTGAGACAGGGCTTGGGCTGGGTGGAGCAGCCTTCCATCTCTGCTTCTCGCCCTGGCTTGCTTAGATGTGTGTTGGGCAGCCTGCCAGCTGACCTGTCAAATGCATGTCACTGCTCCTGGGTGTGACTCAGTCCCACCCGAGGCCCAGAGTTGGCTGTGGGCTTCAAGACTGTTCCCCGGGTTCCCCGGAGATCCTCAGTAAACACACTGCACAAACGTCTCTGTGCTGGGCTGGGTTGTGTAGGCTCCACCCTGCTCTATGCTTGTCTCCCGGTCTAACACAGAGGCAGCCCGGGCCATCCTGGAATGTGTCTTACTAAGGAGTTGGGGGTCTGTCGCCCAGTAGGGGCCTCGTGCTGTGAGTTCTCAAGGTCTGTGCAGGTACTGGTGTAGCCACTTTGAGGGCAGGTTACACCCATTACTTTTCCTGACTTGCTCACTGCCCGGGATTTAGCTCCCTGCAAACCCCAGTGCCAAACAAGTGGGACATCTCTCTTCCACTATGTCACAGCTGGCCCAGGGACTAAGACCAATCTGAGACTGCCATTTATGGTTAGAGATCCGTGGGTGTCCCCTGTGCATGCTGACAGACCCCAGTGCTCCTTGCCGGCTAGGCATTTAAGGGCAGCTGGACCCCCAGTGCAGTGAGACAAAGGAGGGCCGAGAGAGCCATTGTTGGGATGTTCTGGGGATATCCTGGGCAGAGTCAAAGGTCATGCAGAGATACAGCCTGTGAGGGGTTTCTGTGCAGTTGGAGACGGGAAAACTGAGGACACAGAGTAGGAAGCTCCCTGTGTTATGGGCCAGCTGGTCCTGTAGGAACCAAGATGGGACGGATTTGGGGATGATGAGCAAGCGCCTGCTGGGACTGTTCACTGTCTCTGTGGAAGGTCCCACGTGCTGCCCTGCTGGCCTGGCACCTGTGCAGTCTGTGTCAATAGTGGTCCAGCCAGCTCCACAGATGTCAGCCCCAGGCCCGGCCTGTGTTGACTCTGGCTTCTGCCCCACTCTCTTCCTGGCACGTGGCGGTGCTGGCTGCCTGGGCCCTTGGCACTGTTTCCGTGTCTTCCTTCCCAGTCTTGGCCACGGCTGGCTTCCACCAGCTGAGCCTAGACAGCTGGGATCCACCCTGGGCTGTGGGTCTGGGGAGGGGACACGGGCTGAAGTCAGTGGCTGCGATTAGGATCTGGGTCTCCTGGCATTGGACACCCATCCTGTAGCTTTCTTGTCCCCATATGGCCATACCCGGGCTCACAGTGGCTTTGCTGGGACTTTTCAAGCAGCCAGTCTTTTGTGAGTTTTTTGTTGTTTCTCTGAGACAGGGTTTCTCTGTGTAGCCCTGGCTGTCCTAAACTCAGTAGATGAGGCTGGCCTTGAATTCACAGAGATCTGCCTGCCTCATCCTCCCCCCTCCCCTACTGCTGGGATTAAAGGCATGAGTCATCAGGTCCAGGTGGTGGTGGCTGTTGTTGTTGTTGTTGTTGTTGGAGAAGCCTCTTGCTGTGAAGGTCAGGATGTTCCCTGACCTGAGCCTCCTGAGTCCCGGGATAGTGGGTATGTACCACCATGCCTGCACCACCACGCCTGCACCACCATGCCTGCACCACCACGCCTGACTTTTTGCTCCTCACAGATTCAAATTTATGACTGAATGAAATAACTGTAAAGTTCTGAATGTTCTGGTTCTTCCATCTCTACCCCCACAGCCTGGTCACTTGTCAACTACCCAGATCCCAATGTTCATGCCCCTGTTCTGGGCACTTCCTGTGGCAGAGGGCACAGTGTCCTCCAGGCTCTGCCCTGTCAGAGTCCCTGCCCCTGTGCACAGCCGTGTGATACAGGCTGTGTGGGTAGACTCTGTGCGTTCGTTGCATCCATGCTGGACACTGGGCTATTTGCCCCTTTTGGCTTCCGTGGGTTCGTTCTTGTTCTCTTGGGCGTGTGTCTGCAATGAAATTGCTAGGTAGAACAGCAATCGGATAAGTGCCTGTTAGGAGTTCTGTGGCCGGCAGCTGACTGTCTCCGTTCCCCATGTGTGGGGAGGGCCCTGTCCCTCCACATCTACTGCCCTCCATTCCCTGCAGAACCCAGGCCTGATGTCAGAAATGGTCGGGGTGTGTGCCTGTCTTCCTCAGCACCGGAGAGGTTGAGGCAGGAGCATTAAGGAGTTCATATCATCCTGCCCCCAAGAGTTAGGAGCAGGGGGATCACAAGTCCACAAACTGAGTCCAAAGAACCTGTTGGAAAAGAGAAAAAGTTAACGGGCTCCTTATCTCATCTACAAGGAAGGGACTGTGGAGGGAAACTGAGGCACAGGATGGTCATAGTTCCGTGCAAGAAGGACTGGCTGCCTCCAGCCCTCTTGAGATTCTGGCCCAGGATGGATAAAAAGAACCTGGTGACAGCAGGGTTTTAGAGAAAGCCGGCAGCCTCACCGAGCCTCATCTTCCTTCACAGAAACAGTGAGTCCTGGCAGGTCAGGAGTCAAGCATCCCTCCCACAGGTACAGCTCAGGACCTGGTGCTGTGGCCCAGGCTGGCTCAGAACTCTCCATTCCTACCAAAATCTCCTGAAAGCCAGGGTCTCAGGCATACCCTCTCCCCTTTCTTCCTAGCCTTTTAAAAATGTTTGCTTTTGTTTTTCACATTTGTTTGTTTGCTTTGTGTGGGCGGGGCCTGCATGTCGCAGTCTCCATGGATGTCAGTGAACAACTCAAGTAGTCAGTTTTCTCCTTCCTTCCTCTGGGTCTAGGGTTAGGAATTGAGCTTGGGTCACAGGACTTGGCTGCAAGCTCCTTTGCCCTCCGAACCATCTTGTCCTCTCTCCCTAAAGTCTACTTTGACGTCCAGGACACTGGACAGCATTCTAGTATCGAGGGATCCCAAGTGTTTAGAGAGGCCTCCGGCCTGAGGGCAGCTGCTGTGATTTTTCCCTGCCCTCCCCCTTCATACAGGGAGAGGGACTGGAGCCAGGTGCTGGAGGTGGGAGCTCTGGGCGGGGCGGACAGGTCCGTCTGCAGTCACCTCCCTCACGTGTCTTTGTGCCTGTCGCCTGCCTTGTCTGCCTCGGGCAAAGCCTTCATGGCTACTGAGAGTGATAGTCTCCAGCACTGGTCACTCACGTGACTCTGCCTCTCCTGCTGTAAATGACACTGTGAGCCTCTGGGGCCGTGTGGGGTGGGGGCTGGGGAGGAGGTGGGCAGATTGTTCCCTGTCCTGCCTAAGGCTGGACAGCAAGAAGTGACATAGCAGTGGGGCTCTGTACAGTGTGTAAGAGTCCACTGATAGGCAAGAATGGCAGGGTCTACTTCTTAGACATTCTAGAACATTCTAGGAAACCAGAGTTAGACTCAGTGGGGCAGTGGAGAAAAAGAGAGGTACTGGGTGGATTTGGAGCCAAGGACTGGAGAGGCCAGAAGGTGAAGGGTAGGCTAACATTTTCTGAAGCGAGGGGTGTGCCGGGCAGACCCAGGCCACCTGTGTGATGGCCCGGAGGTCAGACTCCAGATTCTGATGGTGGCAGCGTCACTGTCTGGGGCATGTTTGTCTCTGGGCTGCCAGCCAGTTTTGGCGGCCAGCTCCAGCCCAGAGTGTTCCTGGGGCTCAGGAGTCTCGGGTGCTGGGGAGTCAGGGACTGGAGGTGTTGGGAAGCCCCTGGGCAACCTCATCAAAGCTCTTGTGGCTGCTGGCGCCGAGCCAGAGAGCTGTGGCA